TCGCCTTGAAAGAAGTATCACCACCAAGTTTTTGATTAAAATCCAATGCTTTTTCACATAACAGAGGTCCAGATATGGGCTGACCGCATGCTCTCTTTTGTAAGAACCAAGTAAAAACTGCATTCTCCAGAATTTCATTTTGAGATTTTTTCATGACTTTACGTTGCGAACTTCCATCTTCTTGCTCAAGCGCACAGGTGAATTTCATTATGGAATCAGAATTCTTTTTAATGTCTGATATCGTAGAAGTTCCGACAACATATGTTTGTGCCAACTTACTGCCAGATTCACCATTTTTTATACTCTCAATTATCTTCATTTTGTCTTTAAGAGACAACACTACTCTTTTTCGCTTGGACATTTTAAATTTCCAACACAAAACGTAAACAAAAATAAAAGACAACCTTTTAGTTGAACGCTATCAAAGAAAATGAAACAATAACAAACACTATCCCGCAAACAAATGAGAGCGGGAGTACACCGTTGGAGGCGGGAATAAACTTGTCGTAACATGTCTCGTTGCGCCGTCAAAACATTTTTAAATTAATAATTAGAGCCGAGACGAATGAGTCCGGATAATCGGATATTCGGATAATCGATGTTCGGATAATCGGGATTCTACTGTACCTACTTGTTTTAAATTTTGTTCTAATGATAATGTGTATCTAAATTTTAGTAATATTTATAATTATATAAAATCGTCACAAATGAACAAATAATATTAATTCCATCCTAAATCGTTTAATTAATCAAACTAATAAATAGGGTCCAGTCAATGTTCTTGTAACCTTAATATATTTATGTTTGACATTCGGTTGCGCAACTGTTTGCCATGATCAAAACGTCATAGACGTTAACACGCGCCTGATTGCCTAACATCATGATATACTCGTAGCTGCAAGGGATAGATTATGACCCAAGTTATCACAATCGATAATTGTAAAGTAGGTACCTTACAAATTATCGCTAGGAGGCCTTTTTTTTTTTTTTTTTTTTTTTTTTTTTTTTTTTTTTTCCGTGCGGAAATCCCCTCGGATACCACCTGTCGGTGGCATGTCGGACATGAACCGACTAAAACCGCACGCCTTCGCCGGGTACTAAAAGGAAGGCCCTGGTGCCCCGACATACCTCGGGTCATCTACAGACGTGTAGACGACCCCCGCCCCGTGTGGGAGCCCCATGTTCCCTGTGCTCCCTGGAAGCGAGCGCGCTTCGCAACGCGCTCGCCGCCACCCCAGCCTGCTTCTGCTAGGGTGACAGATGGCCTCACCTGTCACCCCCAGGCCTGCGCTTATGGAGGACGGAGGTCGTTCTGCGACCTCCGGCGCCTGAGTCGCCTGCGCTGCCTGGCCCGTGCCCGGGCCTGGCGGGCCGGGAGAGTTCTAAACCTCTCCCGGTCCCGCTCCGCCGTCTCCTTCGCGAGCATAACTTGCTCGCAGAAGGAGACGGCAGAGTTCCACGCACTCTCGCTCCGCACGATAGCCGCAATCAGGCTATCGAGCGAGAGAACTCCCACTCCGATGGCCGCCACGAGGTCTCGCCTCTGCTCAACCCACGCCGGGCACTCTGCCAGCGTGTGGAGAGCCGTTTCCACGGTCTGGCCATCGCAGTGGTGGCACTCAGGCGTTGGCTCCTTGCGGATCAGACACAGGTGATCTCCGAAACATCCCTTCCCAGTGATCACCTGCGTCAATCGGTATGAGAGGGTCCCGTGACGCCTCTCGAGCCAATCCTCCATAACGGGTCTTACCGCCGCAATGACGGCGTGCCCAGCGCTCGGTTGCCCGAGTCGTTCCTTCCACTCCCCTATGATGACCTGGCGGAGTTGGGATTTCCGGTCATCGATTTCTCGAATCTCGGGGCATCGACCCAACTCCTGCGCCTCCTTGCGCCACTGATACAGTGCCGCAAGGGCTCTCGCCTCCAGGTCCCACGGTGGAGTTCCGGCCAGGAGACTCGCTGCCTCAAAGGAGATCGTGCGGTACCCCCTTATGATCCTGATGGCCAGCATTCGCTGCGGTCGTCGCAGTATCGCGACGTTGCTGGCCTTCAGGGCCCCCGCCCATACCGGGCACCCGTAAAGGGCCATGGACCGCACATCGCTAGGAGGCCTATTAATGACTATTAAAATTAGGACCCTGTTATCACGTAAACACGTGCTTAAATACACCCAAAATCATCACGTGCTGTCTTATTATGATTAATAAAACTTAATATTAGGTCGATGTACTAAATAAGTATTGCAATCTATGTAAATTGATACTGATATTTACAATTTTGTGATTGATTTTGACATCAGTTTGAGTGATTAATATTGACTGGCTTCTTCGTTCAAAACGCAAAATCATAATTAAAAAAAAACATTCTTCATTTTTAAGTATTTCATATAAAAATCTTATAAATATTAGTATAAGTGACTAATTCAACACTAAGGTATGGTTAAAGAATGCGAAACTTTCACTATCACACGTGCTGACACGAATCATGATCTTGATAAAAAATATTCTCTTTTAAAACAGGTGAAACTACAGTTACGATCGTTGGAGTAACCTTGCTTGGTCCACGCTTCGTTGGCTCAGTGCCTTTTGTTAACGCTTACTTTGCTGTCTATATATAATTCACACCATTCATTGGATTTAAAAAATCTATGTTATTGGTCTATAAATTATTCTTGACACATGTTAAAAGTATCAGACTTAAAATTTTAGGAGTTTTAAACAAAGTTTCTTGTCATTACCGGTATACAACTATTAGTATCTTCACAATGTTAATATATGCCATGATGTGTCAAGTTCATGTTTTTTTATACTTTTAATCAGCAGCAAAAGCTAATATTTTATAAAAAAGCAGAGAAAGCTAATGAAGTATTGAAAAAGATTGCAAATCTTATGTGTATGTTTTTCCAAATTGATTCCTCTCTTGAATTGAATTTTCATTTGGAATTGCTTTAGTTTAGATTCTTCTAAATTCTAAGATAGCTTGCATTATTCTAAACTATTAATGCCTTAGTTATTGATTCCAAATTCTATGAAGTTTTTAATCCATATATATTTAAATAACTAATCTATATGTATTGTTTAACTGAGGAATATGATGTGATCTTCACTTTCTCTAATACCATATTAATCATTTATTGATTCAAATAATATCAACAAAAGGCTTTGGGTCATGTGTAATAGAAAATAACAAGGTCTCATTCTAATCGTTTAAGCGTATCACGACAACGTGACCATAGCAGGTTCTAATGTAACAGAACCAGAAATGGTTGCACAAATAAATTGCGAAATAGTTATAAATAGTCTGTAATGTTATTGGACGATAATTAAGAATACAAACTGATTCTCTTACTGACCAAATATACATGAACATTGATTAAGTATTTGCTGAACATAATAAGACTGAGAATATTAAGGAATTCGATGAACGTCCAAGTTTATGCTGTGCACGAGTCTCAATTTCATTTCAGTCTATACAACATTAATGCCTATGATATTTAGACAAAAGGGCGTACTAAGCTGTGCTAAATTTTACGTTTTTATGCTCCATTGACAGTTTAATCACGTTTAACTACTTTACCCAGAATTCGATTTTTGTAACCATAAACAGATAGACAACACGATTCGACATTGTTTTCTTTTAATAATTCAAAATGAAAATAATATAGAGGTACACAAATTTGATGAGTTTATATTTATCGTAAGGAACATACTTAGTAAATTATTGGTACAGTACACAGTAAATATTCAATCAAATATTTGTTGGTGTACAATAAAGCTTATTTATTCTTCTGAATATTGTAAAGTCCTGATTGCTTGTTATTTATAGACAATATAAAGTGTAAATATGGTAGATAAATTACTTAGCTAAATTATTAATTACAACATCTGTGAACAGTAAAAAATATTGAACGTTAATATTGAACTCTGAGTACTCACATAAAATAAATTATATTTACAGTTTCTGTAATACTTAAGTATATATGTATCAGATTGTTCAGTATTTAGAGCAGCCACGTGCCTATTTTATCAGACTCTGTATGGAATTATGCAGACATTTTGCAATTTGGTTTCGGATTAGTTCAAGTTGATTTAATTGAAGCTGGGTGTGTTTGTTGTTGAGATTGAGAAACAGATATGACCTGACTTAAGATATTTAGTTATATAGTCTTGGAATCCAAAAGGAAATGAGCAAAATAGATTAGATAGATTTCTGATTATGTTAAAATTGGTTGGTACAAATTAAGCTTGGCTGTAACGTAATGTGATTTATTTCTACTGTGATCTACTTCTAGAAAATTCGGCACTTATAGATAATTGAAATGTTTGAGATCAAAATGTTTGAGATCGAAGTCAAAACATTATATATAATTTTAGTATATTCATAAAGATGAATATTTTTTACGTGTAAAGTATATACGACAAAGGAAATGCCCAAAAAATGGCATTGACTTGTTCAAGATAACTTTAATATTTAAATGAAATAATCTATATAGATAGACTATTACAAGAATTATTTAGAAGTTTTTACACTACACACAGGCATAGGCATGCATACGGTTGCCTATGTCTGTATGCAGTGTAAAAACTTTAAAAATCTCAAACCCACATATCTCCCTGATCCCAAATTAGGCATAACCTGTACTATAGTAAAAAGAATGCTGATAAACATACTTATTTAAAAGTATGTACATACTATAGATAAATAACACACATATATAGAATAAAGATTGTGACACGTAGATAAAAGAGAAAAAAAAAACACAAAAATGTTCAGTATGGCTTTATGATCCGTTTCTCTGCTAGCTATTGAAGGGTTTTAATGCAAGTAATAACACATTTGAATTTTATCTACATTGATGATGTGATTATAATGAACAAACACAGACATGTGCACACACATACGTCCTAACACGCATACAACCACACACACAGTCACGTATATTGTCCCCGATGGAGTAGACAAAGTCACTACAAGTCAATTAGTTAATATTATTGTATTACCTCATGCCGTCAAATCCATCATCTGAGCCGTTGATAGTGAGTACGGGTGCTCGAGCGTAAGCCTTGGCGACGCGACGATTCCTCTCGAACACTATCACCTTCGCCCAGATCTCATCGTCGATCTGTGTCCATTTATCCAACACTTCCTGTATGTGTTCCTGTTGGAAAAAATATGGAGATTTAGTTCATATTCATACCTAGATATGATCATGCAGTGTGGGAGTAGTAGTAGTATTATAAAAATACCAGTTTAAAAAATACAAATAATGGACGAAAAAAAAGCAGCGAAGTTAATCTATCCGTGAGTAAATAGAATAAATGAAACATTTCATTCAAACTTGAAATGTCTTTGTCAATTTTTCATTTCCACAACCTTCAATTAAATATACCACAACTAGTTAAGGTTTCATTAAATGGTTTTACCAACACACTGTCGTTAAATTATCGTTACACACTCAAGCCGACAGTTTCATTAAAATTCTGGCAAAGCGTTTTCATTCAGTATTCTTTCAAAACACAGCACTTTAAGAACGTCCTTGCCTTCGTTACTTTTGTAAGTTGTTATTACTGAAGTTTAGATATTAATCCTAATGTTGCAATTTTGTCGCAACTAGATGACATCGGCGCCCGCGCAACAGTTCCGCTCTACTAACTGACACGGTTTTTCTTCCAGTATGGTTTACATGTGTTCACATGAACTCGTATACTGTGCCTTAGTTTATTAATTTATGAACAGGTTATTTACATCAATGTCGTCTTTAGATACTTAAGAGACAAATTGAGACATACTCGACATCGAGATGAATTCTTATCAATTTCAATTCATTGAAATTTTGATCGGACAAAATTAATATTTTCATCATTCTGGACGTTGCAGTAAAAGATACCGTATCTCCTTTTTTTTGTATCCCAGGCGATGTATTCCTATGCGACATTTGACCATGATCGCATGAACAATACAGCAGTAGTAGTAATGATACTACAGCAGCACAACAAAGAAACATTATTTTTTATGGATTGTAAATAAAAAAATTGATATACGAAAAATCGCTAGTTACGAAGTATACGAAAAACTCAATCAATGGGTATGATGACTGACTTATGACGGAGCTGTGTAAATACTTGCAATTATATCTCGTCAAAAAACTAAACACAAAAGCACCGTTGATGTAATTATTAATTATTATACCGATGATTTATTATAAAAATGACGTATCACTGAAAGTGTTTCAACAAGGAAATAATACCAACAATGTACACCTCATCTATTCAAAGGATTTTTTACTTTGTTTCTAGCACAGTAAGGTTTGATTTTTTTTGTTGCTTCTAAAACAATTTGAGCGGGCATCGGCCTGTGTAAAAGTGGTAGTTCCTTAGTGTTCGCTTTTAATTATATGTGTATATAACAACAATTAAAGCAGTTTTTTAAAAGTATTTATAAACATGGCTAAAAGAAATCGAAAGCACAAAAATAGCGGGTTTCAATTTCGATAGCCTTGTTTTAACAGTTTTTTTTTTGTGAAATTAATGTCTACTATTGAATAATAAAAAGCTATTGTATAAAACCAATTAACTATTAAACAAAAATGTGGGAATGAAGACACTTTATTCTCATGTTTTATTACATAAATGTTACATACGGTAATGTAGTGGATATTACTATTAAACTGCCTCGAGATTGTTTTACACAAAACCATGCCTTTTGGAAACGAATTTAATATATTTGGATAGAGAAATATTTAAATCTAATATTAATAACAATGACTCTTTTAATTTAATTTCATTCAGTTTTGTTTGCCTAAACAGTTATATGAAAGAAAACGCTCTTTCTTTCAATTTCTTTGCATGCACATTAACACACAACCTCTTTTCAAAGCTAAATTCACCAGAAGGTACTTAGGTGACGAAGGTACTACCATTAGGGCAAATGACTTTATTCTCCAAAGAGGAGACCTAACGATTCATATATTGCACTAAATCAAATTGCGCCTTCTCTGCAATATCGTATCCTTTGAACTAATGTTAATCAGAATCAATCACAACACAATATCGATGGGATCCTTTGTGGTAAACTCTTTCAGATTCTGCAACATAATATGTAGGAGTCACAACGTCATCTTTCTCATAATCTAGCCTTATATTGTCGAATCCAGTTTGTTATTTGCACTGAATAGTGTTCGTTAGTGCAGTTTTGTATTTATTCGCAATTGGACAGTCGGTCATGCTAAATCATTCGTCAGATTTATAGTTGCAACTAAAGATAGCATATCGTTGCAATCTGATATAAGGTTGTAGTGATGTATAAAGGTTGCGGACGGCATGACACGGGATATTATTGGTATAACAATAAGCAAATGAGTGATAGAATGCGCCTGTGTAAATAAAAATAGTTTTAGCGTGTAGATTTGTTAGAAAATTTCACAAACAAATTTCACAAGCATAGATCACACGTTTGTGAAAATATTCACAAAAAATGTTTACGAACAAAACTAGAGTACCTCAAGACCGAGGAAGGCTTTGCATTTTATAAAGTTCCCAAAAATAAATATTTGCTTGTAATGTTAGAATATTGCTAGGGTTTTTTTTTTTGCTTAACAGGGTCAGATATGACTAAAAGTTCCTTTACTAAAAACTCTATTCAATGTTCAAGGAAATGTAGAGACATCACAAATATACACTGGTAAGTGTTTGAAATATATTATTGATGTTGACAATTGTTACATATAAATGGTTTATGTATTTGAGGTTAAGTTAAGTTTAAAGTTAATAAAGACAAACGTGTCAATAATGTTGTGTTACTCTCCTGCATCTTACAAATATATGTAAATGTTTTAATTGTATATTGTTATTTTTTTTAGTTCATTCAAAAGCCTATTAATAATTATGTAACCTTAATTAAAAGTAATTTTCTCAATAAAAATTAATTGTGTCGAAGGCGTATGAGAGCACCTTTTTGTGTTCCTTATTACAAGACCACATTACTAAATATTTATATTTTGTATTTTTTTAATATAAAATCACCGAAAAAAATGTGAATGTGTTTAAGTGAATCCGTAAATGGATTTGTAGTTTTGTTCTGTCACTTTATCTGACGAATATTAAAAATTTTATGGTTTTTAATAACGCGGTTCTGTCGACGGATCCGGAAAAAGCTAAGACAGCTTTTGTCAGATTCGCGAACAATATATCTGCCGTTTCCACATACAAAATAGATTAACTCTGCTTATTAGGAAGCAGAGAACCAAAAACACAGAAGACTCATTAGAGTGTTCCCCTCCACGGAAATCTTTAGTAAAACGCGAAACATTTATACGTTATGAAGGGAAATTAGAGTTTACATAGAGTTATAAAATCGCCGTATTAAACCTGCATGAGTAACGAAACCATATCGCGACTCAAAAGAATGGTAGCACGCCACCTATCGAGGTAAGAGGTACTTGTCATGACCACTTAGTTATTCGGTTTGAATATGAACGAATTATAGCCTATTCAACAGTAATTAAATTCTTATTTATCAAACACTCAAACACAAAATTCCATTTTTAATTCGTTTAAGAAAAAAAAAATGACGGGAGACTATCAGGCTTAGGATACTTTTTCCTTAAATTTGCAAGACGTTGACCTCCAAAATGTTTTTATTGCTCACCAGGACACTTTCGGTGACAATAAATTACCAACGGGACCGGTATTGGATGCTGCATGCTTTTTAGATTAGATATTTATGTATAAACATTTTCGTTTAATTATCACGGGGATTTGATTCTTAGGCTTAGGCTGTAAAAAATCTCGATTCCATTCTAATAAAAAAGAACAAATCAAAAACTTTGTTACGATACCGAAAGAAAAAGGGTCGAAAAAAAGTAAGCAGCCTAAATTGAGCAAAGGTTAGTTAGATCATCGGTTAAATTGGAATCGGTGACCTGCTGAGAATGTTAATATTGGCATTAGTCACAAAATAGCTTAGTTATGGAAATCCAAAACAACCATAACATAATGGAAAGAGGACCAAAGTGAAGGTTGGCTGGAAAGTGATTGAGTGCAAAACTTATGAACTATTTTATGAGAAAGTAAATATATGAAGACTAACACAAAGAATTTAATAGAAAATCAAAGCACAGGTTGGCTTAACCAGTCGTTGTAACGATTACCCAAAGTTAAACCGATCTTATGATGGCCATGAGTTTGTTTGCCCTTTCTTCTCCTAAAGCTCAACCCCTTGGAAACGGGAGGTTGTAGATCGGCAAAGGCATATCATAGATTTTGTATGGGTTTGATTGTAGTTGAATTTATTTGCTTACTATTTGACAAAACAGAGATTGTTGCTTTTGTGTGTGTTGATCTATGACTTTAGAGTCTACTTAAAAGACGATTTCAATCAATTTTTTTTTTTTTTATGAAATAAAGAGAGTTTGAGTTTTGAGTTTTTATGGATGAGTCAATCTCCACTTTGATTCTCTTTCCAATTCGATACGTTTATTTTTGAATTGCCATAAATAAATCATTTTGTCAGCTTTTTTGCTTATAAGTACAAGCTATTTTATTGTAAAATTGTTATAATAATCATGCTTGCAGATGATACTAAAATTATAGACCAGAAGTTAAAATAGAAAATTAAGAAATGGTATCGTGACCGTACGCAACTTCCACAATTTTGTTTGCATAACAAAAGAATGTATTAAGCCAATTATCGAACATTTTACCACGAATTATTAAGCAATCTGTATCGCATAACTGTATTGCTGTGTTGCATAGAGCGTTGTGATCGTCGGGCCATATACGAGCACTCGTAACTATCGGTATCAACACCTTGTGAAGGCTACCACTCTGACTTAAATAGCTTACACATGTATTACAAGCTCCTTACGACGGCTTACTTCGAGATTTTCTCAAGTTTTATTTCTTAAGCAATATTAAGACTATTTGAAATGCATTAAAACTTCTGATAGCAACAATAAAAGACTATTAATTGAAACACTAAACAACAGAAACTATTCTATTATTAATTTGTCCGTAACCGCAAAAGGTTGGGAACATATCGGAAAACTAATTCAATTTATTTACCAAAAATAATGTAGGTGCATGATCGAATTCCCATTCTCTATATTCTATACTGATATAAGTAACTAATATAAGATTTTATTGGAGACAATATTCAATC